CAACTAAAAACATAAATATTTTATCACCTCAAACGAATTTAATAAATTGAGCATTATCTATATAAAGACCCGTACGATATACATATATATATATATATATATATATATATATATAAATTTTGGGTTTTACAACTCTCCCCCTCTTGAAAGAAAATTTCGTCCTCGAAATTTCAACCTAGCCAAACAGTTGGAGGTACTTAGATCTCATCTCTGCTTCAGGTTCCCAAGTTGCTTCAGGGTCTTTGTGAAACTTCCAATGTACTAATACCAACGGAATCTCCTTGTTTCTTAGTGTTTTAATCTTCCGATCCGATATGCGTTCCAGTTCTTCAATGAAGCTTAATTTCTCGTTTATGCTTACCTCGTCCAATGAAACCACAACATCCTCCTTGGTTAAACATTCCTTTAGATTCGACACATGAAATGTGTTATGAATCCCTTGAAGCTCATCAGGTAATTCCAGTCGGTACGCTACTGCTCCCACTCGGTTTATAATCCGAAAGGGTCCTATGTAACGTGGTCTCAACTTTCCTTTCTTTCCAAACCTCAGTAAACCCTTCCAAGGTGACACTTTCAACATCACTTTATCATCCTTTCGAAATTCAATTGGTTTCCTCCTTTTGTCAGCATAGCTCTTTTGCCGATCCTGAGCAACCTTTAGTCGCTCTCTAATTTGGACTACCTTATCGGATGTTTGTTGGATTAACTCTGGCCCAGCTAACTGCTTTTCCCCAACTTCTTCCCAGTAAACTGGGGTTCTACACTTCCTCCCATATAACACCTCGAATGGTGCTGCTTGGATGCTACTATGGTAACTGCTGTTGTAGGCGAATTCTATCAAGGGTAAGTGGTTATCCCAATTTCCACCTAGGTCGATAGCGCACGCCCTTAACATATCTTCGAGTGTTTGAATGGTTCTCACTCTGTCCATCGGTCTGTGGGTGGTAAGCCGTACTAAGCTTGATTCTCGAACCTAACTCCCGCTGAAAAGTCTTCCAGAAGTTGGAGATGAACCGACTATCCCTGTCGGAGATAATGGACAATGGTACTCCATGACGAGAGACAATCTCGTCAATATACAACTTGGCAAGCCTATCCAAAGTGTAGGTTTCCTTTATTGGCAGAAAGTGAGCGGATTTCGTTAATCGATCCACTATTACCCAAATCGCATCATGGCTTCGTAAGGTCTTAGGCAATTTCGTCACAAAGTCCATGGTGATGTGATCCCATTTCCAAACTGGGATTTCCATATATTGCAGTTGACCATATGGTCGTTGATGTTCTATTTTGACCTTCAGGCAAGTTAGACATTGCTCCACATAGTTACCAACGGTTTTCTTCATTCCTGGCCACCAATACAAGGCTTTTAAATCCTTGTACATTTTATTTGTACCCGGGTGAATTGAGTATCTCGACTTATGAGCCTCATCTAAAATCATACCCCTACATGGTCCAACCTTCGGGACCCATATCCTACCTTGAAATCGTTTTAACCCTTGTGTGTCATCTACGAGGAATTGTGCCTGACCCACGATTCTCTCAGTCTTTTGATTCTCTCTCATTAAGCCATCCTTTTGGGCTTCTAATAACCTTTCAATCAAACTTGTGGTGGCTCCTAGACTCATTGCCTTTATCTGGGTCGGTGCCACGTGATCCTTGCGACTCAGGGCATTTGCCACCACGTTGGCTTTTCCTGGGTGGTAGGGTATCTCACAGTCATAATCCTTTAGTAGCTCCATCCATCTTCGTTGTCTCATGTTTAACTCTTTTTGATCAAACAGGTACTTTAGGCTTTTATGATCCGAGAAGATCACACATCGAGTTCCATACAAGTAGTGCCGCCATATTTTCAATGCGAACACCACTGCTGCTAACTCTAGGTCATGAGTTGGGTAGCGTTTTTCGTGATCTTTTAACTGCCGTGATGCATAGGCAATCACTTTTTCTCGTTGCATAAGTATACATCCTAACCCTTGATGGGATGCGTCACTATATACTACGAAGTCCTCAGAGCCTTCAGGTAATGAAAAAATTGGAGCGCTACAAAGTTTTTCTTTAAGGATCCGAAAAGCGTCCTCTTGTGTTGGCCCCCACACATACTTGCTTGACTTTTTCGTTAAGGATGTCAGAGGGATGGCTATTCTTGAGAAATCCTTTATGAATCTTCGATAATAACCGGCCAATCCTAGGAAACTCCTTATCTCCGTTGCTGATCTTGGAGTTTCCCATTTCATTACTGCTTCCACCTTGCTYGGGTCCACCATGATACCCTTTTGGTTGATCATGTGCCCGAGAAATTGTACYTCGCGGATCCAAAACTCGCATTTGGAGAATTTGGCGTACAACTTCTCTTTTCTTAGTAACTCCATGACTGTACGTAGGTGACTCTCATGTTCTTCTTTGTTACTTGAGTATATGAGAATGTCRTCAATGAAGACGATGATGAATTTGTCTAAATRGGGCTTGCATATTCGATTCATCAAGTCCATGAATACCGCGGGGGCGTTTGTCAAACCGAAAGGCATGACCACAAACTCGTAGTGCCCATAACGAGTTCTAAATGCCGTCTTTGGGACATCTTCTTCACGTACCCGCAACTGGTGGTAGCCTGAWCGTAGGTCGATCTTTGAGAAGTAACTTGCTCCTTGTAGTTGATCGAATAAGTCGTCTATTCGAGGTAGTGGGTATCTATTCTTTATTGTAGTCTTATTCAACTCCCTATAGTCGATGCACATGCGCATCGATCCATCCTTCTTTTTCACAAATAGCACTGGGGCTCCCCATGGGGACGAACTCGGTCGGATGAACCCTTTATCCAAAAATTCCTGGATTTGGGTCATCAGTTCTTTCATCTCCGATGGTGCTAGTCGATATGGTGATTTAGCAATCGGTGTGGCTACGGGTGTCAAATCAATCCTAAACTCGACCTGCCTTTCAGGAGGTACCCCTGGTAGGTCGTCAGGGAACACATCAGGGAATTCCCGAACCACCGGGACCTCATCTATAGCTCCTTTTTCCATATTAGTGTTTACGACGTATGCTAAGTACGTCTCACGTCCTTTACGATTACATCTCCTA